TTCAGAAGAATTTTTTTAATAAAAAAATTTTTAATTCTGTATATATATTTATATAAATCAATAAAATGTAAAGAAATCGCATATTTACTTCTGTCATATTTTAAGTGTATCAGCTTAAACGGTGTATAAGAAAAAAATGCATGGCAAAAAAAACAATATATTAAAAATAGTTTGAATTCCCTGAATTTACTAAATATTATACATCTTCATACTCTTTGATTCATTTTTTATCTTTTAGATCTTTATGTTTTAGAAAATATTAGGTCTTTATACCCTTAGTATTAATTTATAACATCTAAAAAGAGGATATACAATGTAAAAAAAATTATTTTTTTTGCGATTTTTAATACAAAACTGTTTATTCGTATAGTAAATTTTACTTGATCTTATAAAAACCATTCTTAAATATTTTTTTGTTTTTTTAAATGAATTTTTTGTAATGTTTACATGTATTAACTATTATTATTATTACTATAAATTACCAACAAAAAACCCGTGCTTTTTTTATTATCAAATTTTAAAATTCTTTTAATAGAGAAACAATATTAAAAATTCATTTCAAAATAAAACAATGTGTGCAATTATATTTTTCTCTATTTTGCTTTAAAAACTGTAATGACAAATCAAAAAGAGTAAAAGCAAAACCATCGAAAAATTGCATATATCATTTCTATTTTCAACAATAATAAAATGTGTTAGATTTGCATATAAATCGTTTATTTAATGTGATTGTTGTAAAAAATACTTGCTGAATGTTTTAAATGAATTATAAATACATAAAATTTTTTTTCTTGATTGAAAAAAATTTAACTTTGCATATCAAAAAAAAAATTATATTAAAGAAGAAATTAAGGGAAACAACGAGATCGGTCGCTCATATTCACTTGTTATTATCGTTGAAAAGATTGAAAATGATAAAATTACATAATATATTTTAAATGAAAAGATGTATATATTTTTAAATAATTATATTTAAGGGTTTTTCTTGATTAACACTAATCAAATTTTCTGATTTCATTTAAAAAACCATTTCTTTTGAATCTAAACCATTATTTTTATAAATTTACTATTTAAAACCACCAATAAATGCAAAAAATAAAAGATTAAATGTTTTTGTTGTTTTATGATCAATAAAAATAATTTAAATAGTCCTAATCTTAAATACATTTACAATGTATAAAAGACAATATTCCAGAGTAAATCCATAGGAAAGGTTTAAATTAGTCAAAACCTAATATTTTTGATTCTTAATCTATAATATGTACAATTATTTATCCGATATTTAAGAAATCACTTTTGTTTAATCTTGCTTTTTGAGTTATAATTTTGAATTTTATGTATCGTTTGTGTGTATTTATAATTTGATATATTTTAGAAGAATGAATTTTTAAATGAATTAGTTACAAAAAATCATAAATACATAAATGATTATAAAAAGTGTTGTGATCATTTGCATAAAAATCAAAAAAAAATGATTAATATAGAGTTTTTTTAATTTTTTTATTTACATGTATATATACAAATATGACCTAGTTTGTGACCTAAATTTATAACTAAATAGACAATAAACCTCTAATATATTGTTTTGAATATTCAAACCAAGTATATTAAAAAGTTATTTATCCCAGTATATGAGAAAAATTAATCGGTAAAACGAAAACAATTACGAAAGCAAATATAATAAAACTATTTCTTAAATAAAACAAAAGAATAATACAAATAAATGATAAAACTTAAATCTTGAATCATATATATGCAAAAAGTCTTATAAAAAAAACCCTGTAGAACTTTTTGAAATTGGATAGTATAATATAAAATATATATATTTAGATGTAAAAAATTATTTTCATTTTTAATTTAAAAACACCTTCATGCACTTAGTTTCTTTTCTTAAAAAATTCTCGAACAAATAGTCAAAATCTTGAACACTGAAATACGAATTTAGGACAAAAAAAATGATGACATATAGAAAACATTCTAAATCTAAAATAAAATTCTTATTCTTAGTAATTTGAAACACTTGATCAAATTTTAACATTCATTACTCTTAAAATTATAAATAAATCTGATGAATTCACATTAGAAGAAGATTTCGGGCTATCATATGCGTTTTAATATGTAAGTAGAATATTGACGAATCTAAAGGGAATTTGGTTATTTTAAAAAAATTTCTAAAATATTGCGATTGTAAATGAATTTAGTACTATTAGACTAATTATTGTTATTTTCATTATAATAAAAACGAGAAAAAAAAGATTTTTTTATTATTCATTATATAGTTTTAAAATGTACACCATTCATATTTTTACTGTTTTTTTATTCTCTTTTTTTCCAATTCTCAAACTTTTGATGAACTATCAAAAATTTCACATTATTGTATTACTAGAATTGATTAAATTTTTCAATTCGTTTCCGTTTTCAAATTGGAAACAAAATGCAACATTTTATGAATTTCTAGTCAATACCATATTTGGCATCATATGAGAATATTTTATTTTAATCCTTAAAATCTTTCAATATTGAGGAGTATTACAAATATCTATGTGACAGCGAAGAAAAATTTATTAATCTTATTTTTTAAAATTATAAGATTGCAGATTTTCTCACACAAAACCTAAATAAATTTATATCTATGACAAATAATAATTTTGATTCTTTTAAGCGACTATTGATATAGTAATTGGTGCTATTATAGCTTGGCTAGATCAGTATATGCAAACCACAGCAGTAACAACTAAAATCGATTTTTAAGAATACTTTTTTTTATCAAGCGAAAAAAAACATTTAATATCTTCATAAAAAACAAAATTCTTAAAAATGACATATATTATATTTAAATATAATGTTAATTTATATTCGTAAAAATATTACTATTAATTATGAAGATTTTTTTCATTGTAAATTTATACATCTCAGCATAAATTAAATATAAAAATATAAAAAAGCAAGATTAATATTGATACATAGAATTTTTTATTATTTCCTATTCAGTTAAAAAAACTACTAATGTATTAGATATATCCATGTTGTATTCAATTCATTCTTAAAAAATTATTTCACACATTTTTTGGAAAGTTGATTTATATTCCTGCATTTCTATTTCGAAACACAAAATAATCAAAAATTCTTGTTTTAATTTTACAGCTTTTCAAAGAAAGTGAATATAATATATACATTAATGTAAATTCCTATTTCGTTACATGAAACCACAATTTGATTGGTTTAATAAAAATAAGATTTTAATCTTTTATTATTGTTCTTGTGTGCATACATTCGATGTTGAAGTGTTTGAAAGATCAAAATCGAATGTGCGCCATTTTAAAACATTAAAAAACAAAAAAAACAAAAGAATGGAAGTTATCATTGTCAAAATATGTCTAAGGATTTGTTTTTCTTTTTGTAAATAATAATCAGTACAAATAGACCTGAGTATATAAAAAGTAAAACAGAAGCTTTTGCCTATTCATTTAAAAATGTGTGAAAGAGTTATCAGACTTATAAAAAATTTATAGTAAAGATATTTTTTTATCGGACAAAAACAGCAATTTATTTTAAGAAGTTCGGTTTGAAAAATACAAATTGGTGAAATTACAAATAGTTGATAAGTGATTTTCTAAAGAAGTCATGCTTTTCAGATTGATAATTCGGTTTAAATAATTTATTCAGAATTTTTTATTCTGTCATAAGATTTGTTTCTAAAGGAAGGAACAATTTACCGAGCTTGAATTGCTTTGAAAAAGTAAGAAAGTCATCTAGAAAACTGAATATAATTTTTTTTTGATAAATTTTATTGCGATATCCATAGTATATCCATTTACTTGCTAAATACAATTCAATAATAGAATAAATTTTATTTCTATTATTATATGCAATATTATAGTTATTTGTAAATAAATTATTTTTAAAATTATAAGAGTTATTGCTGAAAATCTATTTATTATTGCTTTTAACAAGATTGCTTTTATGGTTTTAGCATAACTTTTTTGATTTATTTCATTTATGGCAATTACATCAAATTATATTGAATTGTGTTAAATCAGTTCAAATTATATTAAAACTGGTTCAATATCATTCAGAAATAAATTACCATAAATAACAGTTTAAAATTAGTTTCCTCTAGTGTATGATGGCATACTACATTCATATATTAAATATAAAATCAATTATATGAATATATACATTTTTTATTTTTTTGATTGATAATTCTGTATCTTGAATTTAATCATAAACAATATTAAGAGAATAATTATTACCTTTAAAAATGCACCTTTTTATATATTTTTTATTGTTATAATGCTAAAAAGAATTGATTTTTTTATATATGGTCTTTAAATACCTGTAATATAGAAAAGATTATCAGATATTTTTTACTTTAATAATTTGATATATTTTCACATTTTTGCATATTTAATGTATGAAATACGAGTATCATTAATATAAATACTTTATAAGATCAAAAATTAACATAATGATTGTAAATTTAAATTCCGATCGAATTTCGTTAAAACTTTTAACTCTTACATATGATTTTTAAATTTCCATGAAAACTATCATAAAATTGTATTTATGACGGAAAGGTCGTTTAAGCCTTATTAAATTAATATTAAAATAAAAAAAATCTTTCTATTACAATCAAGAAAAAAAATTACTTTTTTAAAAATCTTAATTTCTGTTTTTTTATTTCATTAAATGAATCAAAAAATACAATATTTTTTATTAAGTCAAAAATTATATTAAATTACAAAATTTATATTTATCAAACAACAAATAACATAAATTTAATTTTTTATAGTCTTTTAGGATTTAAAACAACTACAACCTAAAATTCGTTGATCGGCCTAAAATATTAAGGTTATTTAAATGTTATATAAAAAATGAACTAATTTATTGCAAATATTGATTTGCTAATGCATATTTTTTAAATGTTCTTTTATTTTTAGCGTCATTATAATGTTTTAACGTGTGCCAGAATGCATTAGTCTTTAAGAAAAAAAAGAATTTGCCGCCTATCGGATTTGAACCGATGACCGCCAGTTTACAAGACTGGCGCTCTACCCCTGAGCTAAGGAGGCTTGATAAAAAGGCGTTAAGTAATTATAAACTTAGTATAACACAACAAAATGTTGTTTATGCATTTTTGAATTTCTTATAAAAATAAAAAGGTCATTAAATATAAATTTTGAATGGCAAAAATTTCGAAAGTTTCGATCTTATGGTCCTTAAAAATTTTATGAAAGAATTGACCCGGAATAAATTCAGCTAATTAAAATTTATAATGGATTTTTCAGAGAATAATATCAATATTTAATGCAAAATTATAATTTTTTATAACTTGTGATAGATAAGAAGACATTCAAAATTCTTATATTTACTATTAAAAACTAATCATATACTATTTGATATCATAAATTTGATGATTTTCGCGAGAATAAGAATCCTATCTTCTTTATATGAAAAGATTGCAAATATTCAGATTATTTTGAATATTTGCATTATAAATCTTGGTAGAATATTATAAAGATATTAATAAATAGTTAAAAATGAAAAAAAAAGAAAAAGAAGTCAAGTTTTAAAATCCATCATTTTGAATTTTAGCGATTTTTCTTATTATTAATAAACAATTTATTAAAATTTGGTGATGTTAGTTTATTAAAACATGTTAATACTGGTTAGTTCTATTTATCCCGAAAATTTTTGGGTATTCAGTCTTTTAGAGGAATAGATGCAATTTTTGCTATTTAAGAAATCGGAATTTAGAAAATAACATATAAATTTCCAACATAAAAATTTTTTCTTTAAATTTATATGTGAATAATTGTGCTATTATAAGATGAACTAAAATTACGAAAAAAAATTCTATAAAAGATATATCAAAAAATCTCTTCGTTGATAAAATAATGCTTATTATTTTCGCAAAAAAATTGAAAAAAAAATATATTTGCACTATATAATAACAAATTAATATTATTGCAGAATTGATCCAATACTTCGATTAATATTACATTTCAATTTGTAAATCAACTGGAAATCAAGCAATGCCTTTAAATTGTTCATTTAACTGCCAGTTCTTAACGCTTAATTTATTCTGCAACTTCTTTATAATTCTAATTACATCTTTAAAGATTAAATATTTGAATTGACAAATTGTAATTAAATTGTTTCTTTTTTTGATATATACTTTTTTTCAATTTTAAAATAAGTATTAATATTCAAAGATGCAAAGGTTTTAACACATATGTGCTATCTTTTAGTTACAAACCAACTAAAAAAACTTTTAATGAAGAATTAATACATGGTTACGAATCCCAATGTTGTTAAATTTTTAAAAAAAATAATATGATTGTGAAAACTATACGCAATAAACCATATGAATTAAAATGTATTCAGGTTAATATTATTATAATATCGAAGCTTTGAATTGTTGTTTAAATGTGATTATAACTTAACTATTAAAAAAATATCATTCATCATAATTTTTTATGTATGAAAAAAATACATATGCGATGCTTAATGCTTCTTAAAATTCTTCTAAAATAAATTTATAAAATTAAATTTGATTTTAAATATCAGATAGAATTTAAAAAATCATTTTGAACACATAAAATTTATTTTTTGTAAATAATATTTGGATTTTAACTTTTAATTTACAAAATCAAGTCTACTAAAAAAATACAAAGACATAGTTCATTAAAAATATAAAACAATTAATTTCTTAGTATTTGAAATTGAGATTTCTATAGGTTTATGTGGTAGTATAAAATATTGAAAAATTGTTAAAAAAATATTCTTCTTAATGAGAACAATTATGGATAATTATAATTTGGTTTAATATGGAATTTTGTATTTCAATTTCTAATTGAATACGAATTTACTATGTTTATCAATTTTAGTTGTTCCGAAAATAGAATGTGCTTTTGGTTTATCAAAATTTGAAAATTGCTATAAAAAAAAAGAATAAAAAAATGTTGAAAAATATGTAATATTTTAAATTATAAATAGTTTACATTTTTAAATAAAAAATAATGATGCTCAAAAATAATATTTCTTTTTCAAAAATTTATACTAGTAATACTTTTAACAAAAACATTTTAGAATATTATTTTAGGTATAACAAAATACCATGTGAATACAACTGTTTAATATGAGATTTTTTTTATTGTAATGGTTACTAGGTGCAGATGGATTTTTATAATTTATTATTTAATAATTTACAATTTAATAAATAATTATTTTTTAGTTTCATATATTTATATATTTTTGTCATCTAATATTACTAAACTAAACATTTTATTTCAAAATCTTGCTAATCATATATGCATATTTCATATAATTACAAAGATCTTTCGATTTTTATTGTGTCGTAGATGATCATAAAACAAAAAGATTCAAATACTATCAAAGTGTGCTAACTAAAATATACAAAGTAATTGCATAAGGAAAAAAGAAGAAGATGGATCAAGACAATGAAGAGGAGAGAAACAGGGCTAAGCCTAGAAGGAGGAACTAAGATTTCCTAACTTTATAAATAAAACATTAATAACCAAAAACCATCCTCTATTCTTCTTTAAAAAAACAATCTTCTATATTTTTAAGATCCTCGTTACTATAATTCCCATAAAGAATTCGCTGTTTTTTTTTAAAATTAACTGATATCTGGCACATTATTTTCAAATCATTTGCTAAATAATAAATTACATAGAATGTCATATAGAATTTAAATTTTTCTATTTTCGATTGCAAATAAAAATCCTTATTTTTTTATTATCGTTTCGCAATCTTTAAGAAGAGTATTTCAATATTTTTGATCTAATTTGCTGATATCTGTTTGATCATCATTTATGACTAATGATATAATGAAAATAAATAGAAAAAATCAAATTATACAACTTGATTTGATTCTAAAATTATAAAAATAAACATGGTATCTATGCGATGAAAAAACAAAATTTATTAAATGTAAAATTCCAATGCAAATTATTATTTATAATTCTATGTTTAAAAAATTCTTTTAGATCCTATTATTGTGTTTTATACTTTCGTCCTAAACGTGTTTTTCAAAACTACAACATTACATTATACGTTTGGGTTATTTTGTTACAGCGTGTCGATAAGATCTAAAAAAAACCATGAAAATTATAAAATATGTGTTTCTTATGAAAATCATTGTAAAGAAAAACACTAAAAATATGTGGGTATTTCGAAAACTATCTTGATGACATTGCGTCTAAAACGGAAATTTAAGTAGTTTATAATTTTTTTTCGTGACTTCTAATAAAAAATTGTTTGACTTTATATATTTAGACTATATATATATATTTATTCACACCATAAGAATTCAAAATTTATATAAATAAAATTTTAAATTATCAAAAAACAAAACTATTCTATTCATTTTTTCTGTATTTTTTAAAAATTCCTGAATGAAAATTTTGTACTGAAGATAAAAAAAATTGTGATCTCAAATATCTTCGATGTTTAACTTGTTAAAAATAATTCAATATATTATAATTAAGTCATATAATATACAAGAAAAATATACGATTATTTAAAATAGAATTTTTCGTTTTTTTTAAAAATATTCAAGACAGTTTTAAAAAAATTAATTATCCTATTTTTACTATATTTCGTTTTTTTAAAATTAGTTTTTTTTAAAAAAAATGTATTTGAATGTTTTATATAAAATTTTGTGTAACACAAAAACATTGCTTTTAATAGCAAAAAATGTTTTATATTTTTTCAGATTGTTAAATTTTAGTAAACAGCTAAAAACTATCAAAAAAATGTCCTAAAACATAAACTCAAGTAATAAACGTGTATTCTTTATCATCTCTCTGTAATAATTTTCGTTAAATTAGTGATATCTAAATATGCTACAGTTAAAAGTGTTAAATTCTATATATATATTTAAAAAAAAATTGTAAGTTTTCAGTACATATTAATTAGTTTCTCCTCTTAAATCAATGATATCAACCTAAGATAAAAACTGAAACTTAAACAAAAAATCATATGTTTTTATAGGTTTTAAGTGAAAAAATACTCATTTACGCATTGAAAACAATAAAATTTGTATAAATAACAAATAATTCATTCACAGAATATTGTGAAAATACATACAATTAAACGCTATAAATGCATTTTTTGAACAACCCGTAATGCAAATGTAATATTTTTGCCTTTCGAAACACCATAACTTAAAAGTAATTTTCTAAATCTATAATTGCCAACAAAGTATAAAATACATTTTTTTATAGTTTTTATTTATTAACTTGGTCTTTTTATTCTTCTCGTCATTCTTATCAATACTTGCCATCATAGTTCTTCCAGCTTTAATTTTGTCTCTTAAAAACATAAGGTTCGAACAATTTTTAATTTTTATTATAAAAAAAGAAAAGAAAAAACCAAAGGAGAATAATCTAAAAAATATTATGTTCTCCAGAGAAAACAGCAATCGCATGTGCAACATACTTTAAACCTCTTAGATACTTGATCATCCAGATAATTTTGTTACAAGTGAAGTCAAAATTTTTAAAAAATCTTAAAATATCAAGAATAGCGATAAAAAAAGTTCATATAAGTAACAGGTAAACAATCAGATCATAAATTTATCGCAATAAATTTTTTAATGCAAATCATTTTTCTAGTTATTTTGTTTGCAAACCAGCTGCAATTTATTCACATACAAAAAGTTAACCCAGCTCGTTATGGTCGTCCTAACAATCCTTTTAATAATATCATAATAAAACCTTTGAATGAATTTTTTTAATAAATTAAAGACGTTCAAAGTAACGTGTGCATCTTTTTGTGTATTAAGAATAAAAACATTGATATATCTTTTAAGTTGGCTTTATTTTCATGATAAGTGAAAAGGAATCAAAAAATAAATTATAAAATAAGTTAATAGGCATAAATCATATAATTTCTCCATAAAAATGTTGTAGATTTTTGTAATAAACATTTTTATACTATTTTCTTTATTCTACACAATCGAATTTTATTGTAATTCTTGAATGTCGAAAATTGATAGGTTGTCGATAGAAATTATAAATTTCTTTGCGTATATATGAAGTTCTAT